GAAAAAACAATATCTTAATCATTCTTATTTAAAAGACTATATTCTTGTATTCCATTATTTGTTGTTAAAGGTGACTACAATAGAGCTAGATAAGAGACTTTTCTTTTAAACAAGGCCAAACAAGGTTTATCCAAGGTTCAAAATATCGATACAATCCAATATGCCATATGGGACGTATCGGCCTACACCGGAGCTCTCTATTTTTTTTAGTTCTTTTTCTTTGAAACTGGTTCAGAGGGTTGGTTTAAGGTCGGCCTACCCCCTAAAATAGGTTGGACCCTGAAACACTAAGTGTAGGGGCATATCAAAGGGGCCCTGATTTGACATGTATTGGCCAATACACCCCCCTCAATACATGACAAAATTATAATCCTTGGGTTTACCATGATAGTTCTTTTTGAATAAGTTAGTTCTTGATGTTGAATATCTCCATATCTCCATATTGATAAAAAAAATCTCCATATCTCTCCATGCAACTGATTAAATGGTGCTACTATTTGTACCAAACTTCTAGAATGTATGATTATGAAAATAAAATTGTACCATGAACTAGATTACATGTCACATACAAGAACCAGATTTGTAGAATGTTAAGGACTTAAGTGTACAAGGGGATTAGTTATAGGGACAATTGACCAAAGTGTTCTGTTCATTTTTTTATTGGTTGTTCTCTTCACTATTATAGAGTTCAATGTTCATAGTCCATATGAAATTTGCCTTTTGTTCAACAAGAAAACATAAGAATTCTTCTTTCCCTTTTCTTAAAAAAATCTCAAATTTACCAAGCTTTTTATCCTATTTATTAGGCATAATTATGCTGAGCAACCAAATAAGAGATTTCCTACCTAAGCTTTAGGTCCTACTTATCATGAACTGGCTTGCAAACTAGTACAAAACATACCAGCTCATAGGCCTTATAGTACAATCGAGCAATTTAGGCTAGCTAGTGTGTGCCAAACCTGCAAAACAAATTCTATAGTGTAAAGAACTAAGGACTAACATAGTGTTTATGATGTGTTCTAAGCAGTGTAAAGAATTAAGGAGTAAGAATTGGCAAGACCATTTAAAGCTGATCAGCTGATAGGTTTGGTAGTCAAGGCCTAGGCAGTATAGCACTAACAAAACCCAAGACCTGGTCAGCTATCTAGTTTACCATTTCACTAGTTCAACTACCAGGATTAACAATAGTGTACAACCACTGATTGTAACTGTTAATGTGATCTCAATGTAACTTGATATATTATAACTGGTTCACAAGAGTAATTTGATACCTAAGTATGTACTTAACAACAAAAGAAAAAATAAAAGATCATAGGAAAGAATATGTACCTAACTCTAACTGTCATAAAAATGGGAGCGATGCCTTCGGACTTGCAACACAATAATAACAGAGTCAAAAGATTAAAATAAATGGAAACGATAGAACTATCTACCACTACATTAGAACATACAACCTAGTCATTTGAGACCCCTTGCATTTTTTCTCCTTTGTTTTTTCATAAGCTCCCATTTTCTAGACATGGTGGGACTATGTGTCCCCCATCACTAGTACACCGTTGGGGATTTAAAGCTTGGTAGGGGACCATAGTAATAAGATTCCAAAAATGTTGTCTTTCCCAAAATAATTAGACATGTGAAAAAGAAACAAATAGATCAACTAAACTAAAGGGGAACAAATTCCCTCACATTAGTTCCAATTACTTTGGATAGATAAGTAGATATTCAACCTGGTCTGGCCTATTTAAGCACAATGTTCTAATTAATAGATTTTAAATAATAACAAGCAACACAAAAGAACATGATAACTCAATGACTCGACATACCTTTGTCTAAAAAATGTTAGAGTTGATGCATGCCCTACTATACATTGAGTCATTGGCATAGTTTTGTCATTGATTGGCATATGAAACCAAAAAAGAAAATCCTAAATAATTAGAATTTGTAAGGTGATAACAAGTGTTTAGTGGTTGTCATCTAACCTGATTCTTTTATGCAACAATGGTGTTGCTATGCCTCTATGGTTTTCCTTCTTAGATGATAAGATAGATAATAGAGGCTTGGCACCAAATGAAGATTTCTTCTCCAACGAGGACGGTTTGGCACCAAATGGAGGTGCCTGTTATCTTCCACAAACCTGCTTTGTTCTTTACCAAAGCAATTACTACCTCTGAATGTCATTCAGTCTGCAAACATTTATAGTTGAGAGATTTAGCCAGCCTTAGATCATGCAACACTGCTCATTATTCTGCTCCAAAAGAGTCATATATGTCCTTCCTAATTTCTAAATACTCCTAATTTCAGATAGTCCTAGGTTCCCTAGGCTCCACTCAATCACCCATCAAAGATATCATATTTTATTCACGTTAGGTGTTTGCAATATTGTTGCTTATTTGATTCTTGCCGATGATGAGAAAGATTGTTTGGCCATGAAAAACCTCCACAATTCTAAACCAATGGAAAATTTGTTGATGCCAAAAGGCATTGATTGTAATGGACTTTCCATTTGTTTAGCCATGAATAGCTTAGAAACATAGGTGGTGCTAGACATGGATGTCATCTATTGGATAGAACGGTTCCCACTAATCCAACATTCTAAATTTTTTTGTTTAGAATGTTGATGAGCTGTTACCTTGGTCTTGGTCTCGATGCAGACATTGAGAGAACAAATCCCGGTTGTCAGAACGCTAGCGTACCATTCACCAGCAAAAGGGTTAAAGAAATGGAAGGCAGGAGGTGCCAATCTCTCGAAAGGACCCTATTGGGAGTTTCTTGCTCACAAGGTAAAGATTAGCTGCCCCGTAATGGACGTTGTTGATGATGAATCCTAATTTTTTCAGAGAGAGTGAGAATGAGTTCAAATGGTAGAGAGTTGGAGCAAGTTCAGATGTGTAAGAGAGAGAGAGAATGAAGATGATAGCTGAGAGAGACGCGGGAGTAAGAATGCACGCAAGCCAAAATTTTTAGATTTTAGAACCTGCGCAAATCAAATTGCTACGGTTTAATGCTCTCTTAATAAAAAATGAGAATGTGTAGCATCGATTAAATTAAAAAACGTCTGAATAAATTATATTTAAGCCACGGCCAGGAAACGGGAATATTGCCATGGATGGTATACTCCGTTGCTATATATAGTATTTTAGCCACGGTTTTTGGTCCGTTGCTGAAAAAACCGTGGTTAAAATGGTTTTTCTTGTAATGAGTTCTCGCAATTCTCTAGCTCTTTTGCTTTCTTGCAAACAACTACCAGCTCGTTAACTTAAGCATCGAAATGCTGTCCCGGGTCAAACTACCCAAACACTCTGATAATCACTTTCTTGCAACTCGACCAAGTGACCTACTCAATCCAGCGTCCGAACTGTTTACCAACAAATAGCACCAGATCGCGCATCATCAATCTCAAATAAAAATAACAAAATATGTTTTTTAAAAAAACAACATACCAATACAGCACCGTTTTTTCAAAGAACACATCTCAGAAAACAACATTAATTCCAAACATGGCCCAAGTTAATTAGGAAGGTGAGAGGGCGGGGTGCATGCACACGCCCACTAGCAATCAGAACATGGAGGCCTGCGCTGCCCTTCCATGAATTTGAAGCTCTGACTCCTTAAATGAAGGGATGCCAACTGACCAACTATTGGGTGCATTGGCAATTCATTTAACTTTCAAGATACCAATCTTCTCCCAATATCATGACATGGCTTACTCTATCTAATCCATTTGAAAGGATGATATGGCCAATCGGATCTATATGTAAGCCAAGCTATATCCCACGGTGGTTTGGATTTCCCATCCCAACTAGTGATAAAATTTGAGTTTATAAATATCTAATTCAAAAGATGCTTTAGGGGAAAAAGAAAAGATTCCCTTTGTCACAAATAAGCCAAAGTTGAAACCAGTAAGGCACAACTAAGTTGAAACGAGTCCAGATCTCTTGAAATAAAAAATGTCTAAACATTGTATTAGATTTTTCTTATACTTGTATGTTAAATTTATGGGGAAGAATCATTTTTCTTAAACTTGTATGCTTTAGGAGATATTCTTGATGTGTGACTTGATACTGTACTCTCAAAGTGTTTACACCATTTTTGTTTTCAGGAGATCCTTTCTCTAAGCACACTCGGGTGTAAGCTTACACCGACTAAGCACTCATAAGAATGCTGCTGACACCTATCCCATAAACACCTCAGCCCATGTATTTGATCATATTTACTCTTTGAATGTTATTCAATGTGCCTATAGAATGTTCCTACAACATCCAGTCTCAATAAAGAAAAGGATGACGTGACAAAAAAGGGTAGAAGAGTCCCAATTGTTGTCTTTTTTTAATGTCCTAAAAAGTAGGACTGTTGGGTGAGATCTTTGGCCAACTTGTACTTACACCGTCCCAACAGCCTCTTGCAACCTTGCATTGGGAATATCTTCCCATGAAATAAAACACGAGTATAGAGATATTCTCAATACAAGACTGTAAAGACTACTCAAACAGGCATTACCCTGATAGAAGCGAAATCGATTTCAGTCAGTGCAAGGCCTGTTGGAACAGCCTTTACAACCTTGCATTAAAAACATCTTCGCACTTCTGTTCTTTATTTCATGGGGAGATAATCCCAATGCAATGCTATATAATGTGTTGGAACGGGATTCTGTTGGATGGTGAATATCATGATTTCCATGGCTTTGGCTCTTGGTAATATGTCCTATTAGTGCCTCGATCCAAATGAAAGAGAAGAGAATGAACCTAGCCAATAAAGGGGCCATGTTCACTGGGGTCAACATTGGTTGCGCCGGCCTTTCTCCTTTCTATTTTCCGACCAACCTAACACATGATGGTTACTGTTATCTTTTTGAATTCAAATCCAATCAATTGTTCTATCAAAAAAAAAAAAAAAAATTCCAAACAGTTAAAGGAAGTAAGGACCATCCTAATACGTATTTGCATCGTTTCAGCCATGAACTAAAATTTTATAAAGTAACAGAAGAGAAGAGTGTCCAGGTTCATCCTCTCAACATTTCCATGACTTTCCGTATAAAATCCACGCAGAATCTATCGTCTCATGCATCAAGATTCTCGACACCATATTCCATAATTCCCAAAATACCCTTACCCTCGGCGTCTCCACTCTCCAGGCCTCCGACCAGCTCTCAGAAAACCAGGCAAGCCAAAAGGCTTGGTTTCCAGCTTTCATGGCGTCCATGGCCGCTCTCTTGGTCAAAGCATCAAGCCCATTTTACTCATTCCCCAAAATGCAGAATGCCCGGTTTGATATCGAGCCAAAGCTCTCAGTCTCTACTCTACATTTCCGAAAGGAAAAGAAGAATAGCCAGAAGCTTCGCGTCTTCTGCGGTTTGATTGAACCAGACGGAGGAAGGCTTGTTCAACTCTTTGCCAAGGAGTCTCAGAGAAATGAGAGGAGGAAAGAAGCGCTGTCGATGCCGAGGGTTGTGCTGTCTCGTATCGATCTTCAATGGGTTCATGTTCTCAGCGAGGGGTGGGCAAGTCCACTTCGTGGATTCATGAGAGAATCCGAGTTCCTCCAAACCCTTCATTTCAATTCGCTCCGACTGGACGACGGGTCCGTCGTCAACATGTCCGTGCCCATTGTGCTGGCCATTAATGACGAACAGAAGCATCGGATCGGTGGGTCAAGCCAGGTCGCTCTCGTCGACTCAGGCAATAACCCGGTTGCAATTTTAAGCAAGTAAGGGAATTGGGTCTTTTCTACTCCGAGTCAATGATATTATTTTGCTTCGCATTAAACACTTCTACTGCAACTTGTGGAATTTTAAAGGATGTAAAACTCTGAATGCATTTGAGGTTTTTGTTGAATTGTTGATGTGGGATTACTTCATTTGGGGATTTAGTTCAGTTGTTGATGCCGAGTTGCTTCATATATCTTTTTAGTTGTTGAGTATAAAATGCTGGTCTAGTTAGTAAGAACTTAAATTTATATCTGTGCAACTCCTCACTGCAACACCATATCTTTCAAGGTTTCTGTTTTGTTGGAAAATTATGAAATAAAGGCTTCCCAAGGATCTGAAAAATTAGTGCTTTACAACCGTTGTAATTGACCTGATGACTGAGATGTAACCGTTTACAACTACTGTTGCAACTCCGACTGTGATTGTTTTACCTTTTCCCTAATTTTTAGTAGACATATACCTATAGATTGATTTTTATTGTATTTTATTTCTATAGTTTATTACTAAATTAAAATTTTCATTTTATTCAATTTAAATGGGAAGAGTTGTAATGATTCTTTCAAACAACATGGCCTAGCTCCCATTACTGATGTCCCAATTGGAGGAAGAAGCTTTCCCTTGGAAGAATGACTAGATTTGGGAAGCTCTCAATCATCTAAGCTGGGTAGAAAGCTCATATAATACCAATACTTTTGGGATGGATTACGTAAACAGTCTCACGAGAGTCTACTTTCATATTTATATCAATACAAACCCAAGAAGGCTTGGCCATGTAAAATTGTCGGGCAACCAACTGCTGCACCCTGGACTAACTCACCATGGAAAACATGGTATGGGGATAATTAATTTGATATGAAAAAAATAAATTAATGTTTGTTGAAAACGTCTGACATTTCAGCATCTCTTCTTCTACAAAAGGAGCATTGCAGTATAACAAAACCTTTTCTGAATTCTGATTCATACTGCTTGAAGAGTTAATTTCTTGTTAATTAGAAGGTCAAAAAATGTTTGCCATGTAAATTTCTCAGCTTTCTAAGTATCTAAAATAKAAGAGTATTATATTTGAAAATATTTGATGCTAAAAGTTATGAATAAAAGAACATAAATCGGGATTCTGCATGGAATTGGATTAGTTGTGCTTAGACGTTCCTTATCAATTTCAGATCATCATAATTGATTGGAAGGGATGGGTAGTACTTTTTCTTATGGTTTATTTATTGAAAGACCTTTTATACTTAGGTTGTCAAAATACAAAGTTTGATTTCTTTTATTTCATAATTATTGTCTTTTGTCAGAATTAACTTGTTTGTGTAGCTGGGGCCTTTCCACCATGTGTGTGATCCCTCTCTGATATCCTTGATTTTTGTTAGAATCTCTGCTCACCTGTTTACTGGTTATGGAATCCCAACATCTTTGTTGATGAAACCATATTTATGCATGAAGATAGTTTACCATGTTCAATATAGTATCCTGTAGTTCCTCTGTTGAGATTGATTAATATAAACTAATTTGACGAATAACCTGCTCATTGATTGCTCATGTTTCCTTTGTCTTCCCTTTTGATGATTCCAGTATTGAGATCTACAAGCACCCCAAAGAGGAGCGAATAGCCAGAACCTGGGGAACCACTGCCCCTGGACTACCATATGTCAATGAAACTATAACTAATGCTGGAAACTGGCTCATTGGAGGTGACTTGGAGGTTATAGAGCCAATCAAGTACAATGATGGTCTCGATAGGTTTCGCCTATCTCCGGCAGAACTCCGCAAGGAATTTATAAAACGTGATGCTGATGCAGTGTTTGCTTTCCAACTCAGAAACCCTGTACACAATGGCCATGCTCTGCTCATGACTGACACCCACCGACGGCTTCTGGAAATGGGATACAAAAATCCTGTTCTTTTGCTACACCCATTGGGTGGGTACACAAAGGCAGATGATGTACCTCTTAGTTGGAGAATGAAGCAGCATGAGAAGGTCCTTTTTTCTCATTGACTCATCCTTACTATTTACCAGGACCTGTAGATGAGATATTCTTATATAAAAATTGACTGCCTATAAAACAAGACCATTCTCTTAACAGTGAAAAATGTTTCTTCAGGTGCTTGAAGATGGTGTTCTTGATCCAGAGACAACGGTGGTTGCAATTTTCCCATCTCCCATGCATTATGCTGGCCCAACTGAAGTGCAATGGCATGCAAAGGCCCGCATAAATGCTGGAGCCAATTTTTATATTGTGGGTCGAGATCCAGCGGGCATGGGACACCCTGTTGAGAAAAGAGACCTCTATGATGCTGATCATGGAAAGAAGGTACTGAGTATGGCTCCTGGACTTGAGCGGCTCAACATCCTTCCATTCAAGGTACACCAAAGAGCCAATTTCTTTTCAGAATTTTAATCTTTCAGCTTTGTATATCCTTAAGAAATACACCATAAGATTCATTGTTCAACTACAACTGCAGGTAGCTGCCTATGATAAAACTCAGAGGAAAATGGCTTTCTTTGATCCATCAAGGCCACAAGATTTCCTTTTCATATCTGGCACTAAGGTAACTTCTTAAGTCCTAACCCAAGGTCAGGCCAATCAGATGTACCGAGACCATTCAAATCTGTATCATTCTTTTATACAGTTGGGGTAAGTTCTCATGTGTATTTGCTGAACAAGGGCTACTTTTGTTTTGCAGATGCGAACACTTGCAAAGAACAGAGAGAACCCACCGGATGGCTTCATGTGCCCTGGTGGATGGAAAGTCTTGGTGGAATACTATGACAGTTTGGTTTCATCTGATAATAGAAAACTCCCTCAATCTGTCCCAGCTTAACCATTTGCACTCTCATGTACTGTCATCTGTTTGCGAAAACCCTAAAACTTATTTACTTCCTGTGCAGTTTGTTCAAAGTYTCATGCTTGTAAGATTATCTCTGTTCAGATTTCACATAAAGCATCCAAGGCACTGGCACAGAGAGAGACATTACATAAAGCTAGCCTTGGTCTGTAAATAGTATGCAGTCCTTTCCACACCTTGAAGTGACACAAGTAAGCATTCTATAGTATATTGCTTCTCTGCWATTTTGAAGGACAAAATCAGTAGAGTGCCTTCAAATCATTGTGGCCTGTAGATGTCAACTGTATTTTTGCCCTACAGCAATTTTTGAAGGATCTCACGTATTGCTATTTTGTTGGTCCAAACAACCTTCTTAGTCAATGAAAATAAAGAACTATAAACCTATGGGGTTGTTTGGATAAACTTTTGATCGGCATGAAATGCAAAATGCATTACCAACTTGGAAAACGAATGTAATGGAGTTCCCCCTTTCTTCAATTTATTTTTCTGAATTGGAATATACAAAATTTCACTCTGCTTTGTAAAGCATATTCTCATGGATGCATTACCAAATTTGCTTTCTGAGTTTTTTTCCTATCAAAATTTTCTGATAGAATGGTGGAACGGTGCTTGATTGTACTTAATTGACCATGGAAAACACATTGATTCCAAATAAGGAAAAAAATAGCAACCTCAGCCAGTTAGCTTTGTAGGGAAATGTCATTCCTTATAATTTCTAAGAGTAGGGTCTGCCTTTGGATTCAATTCTTGTGATATTCATATACTTAACCATGTAACTTGCTTTTCAAGTTACAGGAGGTACCTATAAAAAAGTAGTMAAATACAGGAAAATTAGGAAATGATCTGTTTTCCTATTGACCATGAAAAACACATTGTTCCAGCAMCCTCATCCAGCCATTATGTTGGAAAAAATAGAGAAGTAAAACCTAGAAAATGTTTAAATAGGAGACAATTCGATTCTCTTGTTGGAGCTAACTCGCTAAGCGGTAGGAGATTGTTGGTTTCAGGCTTTCGGCTGCTTCTCTCATATTCCGGTTTGTAGAATCAAGATTCAGGTGGGACTGTAAAAATGCCAACCCAAACCATGGCTTTAATTAATATTGTTAGCTAAACATGATGAAAAAAAGTACAGAAGCCATTATCCATATTCAAAACGACATTTGTTCAAGAATTTGGGGACAAAAACTGGGGTTGAGAAAACAGAAAACTTACCTCAAGGAAATGATCACATTGGGTTAAAAGAAATGTAGATTTATGATCTATCGCATACTCAGATAATATAAGCTTGTAGACAAATATTCTCGTTAATTAATTGTTTATATACATGTATAAAAGGATGGAAGCTATAGTAAGAAAAGCCATAACTTAGGAATTCTGTGATTGGAGTCATTATTCTAAACCTTGGAGAAAATCAGAAAGGCATATTCACTATGGCAACAATTGTTTGTGGTGATCTACCCCAAGGCAGAAATTACTGGTTTACTATAAAAATGGGAAAGTTAAAACAATCAGGAAGAAATTAAGGCTAGCAGTCGACAAAACTTCTGTGAAGAGGAGTAATTCCTTCATGTGAGAAGAAAAATATGGCTTCTGAAAGTGCAGAATTTTCTGGTTGATATGGAATTTCTAAAACAGAAAAAGCCCTCAAGATCAATGCCTGAGATTAGTTGCCCATCAAATTTATCTCATCCTAATYCCATGAAATTTCCTTGTTAGAGTCAACCTCTAAGTCTCTAACAAGTTCACATATCCTCACAAGCTCACATGTATCAACCCAGTATTTGTTTTATAGAATAAAAATAAAAAATAATCCTAAAGTTGAAAAAAAAACAACAAGAATTATATCCGGTTGAGACCTTGTAGGTTGTTGTTTTTAGTAAGGTTCCCTCTCATGCCCAAAATGCTATCTGCCAAGTCACAGAATACCATATCCAGAAACAAGATTCACTTGTACATTTTTGGGAGAAACAATACTTTGCATTTGGCAAATATTTATCACATTTAAACCTCTTATTCTGTATGCATAGCTGATAGCCCAGTTATGGTTCAAAATATCAGCAACACAAAGTGTATCACTAAGGTAAGAAATGGATACGTGTCATGATACACTTGGAATGCACATGAATAGAGTGGAAAGATCTGTATATGCCCAGAACCCACAAATCTATAAATAACATAAATATAAGGTTGAAGTAAATATGAATAAGGTGAAAAAAAGTTTCATCAATCAGAGGCCCTTTCAAGAGTAGGGGTGACATCAAGGGGTGATTGGCGAGAGTAGGGCGATGCTACACTAGTTAACCTTGAAATAGATTCTCATGTGGTTGTTTAAACTTTTCTAAATCCCTTAACAATCCTTTTTCCAATGATTTTTTAGAGGTTTTTTTTTCCAATTTTCATTTGTTATTGGTTTTAGTTGATATTAATTGCACATTGTGTTTGTTGCAATTCTAGGTTTTCATAGAAGTTTTTCTTTCTTTTTTTTTGCAATTTCTATTTTATAGAAATTTTTTAAGAGGGTATTTTGGTAAATTAACTTCTTCTGTTACTCAACTTAACAGAGAGGGGGTCTGTCAAAATCTCAAAATTCAAGGGATCTTTGTCGCAAATGAAAGTTAAGGAGGCTAATTCCCAGTACCACTCCCAAAGTATGATATACCCAAAAAAAWTTTTTTTTGGTTGATATGAAATGGGTTCAWGTTGGGCCCGAGGCCCAACAGATCCAATCCCACAATATATTGTGATATCAATTTTTGTTTGTATGCACATAGTTATAGACCGGGATCACCTATTTATACAAACTTGTATGAACTGAATTTACAGACTTCAGAACCGTTTGTTGCTCTAATGGTTTGGTTTGGTCCTTCAACCTTGACTTGTGCTGGGTACTCATTGAGCTTTTATATGAAGATCTGTACAGCCCGAAGCTAGTTTAGCAGTATCATGTCTTTCTGTACATTTTTCTGTGTCTTTCCATATGAGAATAAAATGCGAAAGACGCGAAAAGCTTTAGTAGACGCCAAAATGGGCTTTTCAGGTCTTTTTGGTGCTCCGGCTTTTGACGATTAGATCTTCTGTGAACCAAGCTGGAATAGACCAAAAATCAGTCTGCCCAACTTATAAACAGTTGAAAGACCCTACAGAAAGACGTGCCAAACAAACCCTTAATTTCCTTTCACAGTTTCACTGCCAATATAATATCAAAAAACATACGTGGCGGTAGCGACTGGAGGTCAACGTACCAAGACTCTCAAGTCATCCAAATTGGCTCAGGCCTCAGCGCGCGATGGACAGCCACAGAACAGTTATTAGAGGAATCCGGCCAGTGAGAGAGATTTCCAGTCTTGCAAATGATTTCCACTTCTTCTTGATGGAATTGCCAGAGGGAAATAGTTGTAGTAGAGTCAGTGGGTGAGACTGTGTGCCGGAGCAGCAGCAAGCTAGCAACTAGCCTCCGGTAGAAGAATGTGGTGGTTACTGGTAAGTGAAAACTTTCACCGGAGCTTAGTCCGTCGTCTGTTTCTCTACTATTTCCTTTACTCGTGTACTTTTTCCGACAACTCTTTTATAAAGTATCAACTACCATACGGCGTATATACGGGATATGCTTTAATTTTCAGTTTTCATATGTATATTTCCTCTTTGACATGAAAAAGGAAGCTCCCTGGCCTAATTATAAAGGGCATTTCCTTTTAAATATCATATATAGTGCTTAATTTGCAATTCAGTTTGATAAAAACCTGTTTTGAAATTGGGAGAATTTCCCTGAAGAACCAAAAGGAGAATTTGGCTCTGGATCTGTTCATGGTTTTTGTTTGTTTCAAGGAATTGGGTGATTATGGTTTTAAGTATTTGAACATGTTATTTTCGGTTCTCTTTCCAGTAAGATAAGATTGTACCATGATATAGTCATCAATGGATTATTTTGATTACTTGGATGAAGATAAATATGGTTCTATTTGCAGTTCCATTCCTAATAACTTCATGTGTAGGATCGCCTGAGATTCTCAAACATTTGAGAGTACATCCATATATGAAAAGGTGGTGTCAAATATTCTATGGATGAGATCAGTGAAGGATGCAATCCAAACACCAAAATCCAAATCCGTTTGCCGACCCCCTTTTGGGTATTATTTACACCATTTTTTTTAACAAGACGAACGAAGGCTGAAAGAACAACGCAACCCTGATCTACAAACCTTTCTACCCTGCTGTGCATTCCAATATTTCTTTTAGGCTTCCTTTTCATGAGAAGCATCATCTCGGGTATTGTAGAACAGTTTAGCAACTGGGATGCATTTGACGGCCCAATCAATCGGCCAGGACAAAGCTGCAAGTCCGATGCATAAAACCCATTGCTCCAAATTCAATCTCTTAGTGTTGGCGAAGCTATTCAGGAACTCCACCATCACCACTTGAAGAACAACAGTTATCATCACAATGCCAAGGAAAAATTGGTTCTCTTCGTGTATCCCTCCGAGTACGTTCTTCTTCTCTAGCTTCCTTGCATTGAAAAGATTAAAGATTTGGCAGAGGACAAAAGTATTGAACATCAGGGTGTCGTTGATCTCCTCACTCACCTCAAAGATAGAGCTTCCACTGAAATGTAGCACCATCAAGACTGCCACCTGATACAGAGCCTGACCAATGAGGTTCCTATACATGAAGCCATTGATAAGATCAGACTTGCTTCGACCTACTGGAGGCTTTTCCATGAGCTCCTCGGTAGGCTGCTCTGCAGCTAGTGCCAAGGCACCGAATACATCCATGATCAGGTTCACCCACAGTAGCTGGATTGCCGTTAAAGGGACTCTGCTAGAAGAAACAGCTGCAATGAAGTTGATCACTAGGGTAGCAACATTCACTGTGAGMTGGAACTGGATGAACTTTTGAATGTTGCTGTAAATGCACCTTCCCCACTTCAAAACAGTTATTAMGGAATCGAAGTTACCTTCTGCAATGATGATGTCTGATGTTTCCATTTCCATTTGAGTGTATTGGGTCCTCATATATATCCCAATATCAGCTTCTTTGATTGCTCGCATATCATTTCTATCGTCCCCAATGACCACCACGACTTGGTTTTTTCGCTTTAGGCACTGTACAATCATGTATTTGTCA